GCCTTTGACAGATAGCAACAAATCTCCTAGGCCACCGACGCCACAGAATCATGTTAATCTTAGATCGAGATCAAGAATGATGAAGGTATTCTTGAAAGTGGATTTTTCCTGCTGTGAATAGATCTAGAATCTAGGCCATCTGTTAAAAATGTGAATTTCTAAACTTAGATCTATCTATTGGCCTAGGCTCCTTCTTTCAATTATGGGCCTAAGTCTTCATAATCCTTCGAGATCTAGGCTAGATCTAGAATCTAGATTAGGTTCTTCTGGGAAGCAACAATTGGCATGTAGGCCTAACTCTTTTTTTTTAAGTGATTGAGCTGGAACTTATGAAGAAAGAGTCGCGCCTTTGAAGAGGGGGAAGAAGTCTTACCCCTAGAGGTAGTCAAGAGGGGGTGCAACATGGATAAATTCTAGGTAAAATATGTATGTTTTGTTTCTTTCCTGTTTTCAGTCTTTTTCCTCTTCTTAACTTTCCTACTTCTTCATTATTAGGCTACTCCGTTCGTAGAACGGGTGCTTTCACTAGTAATGATAATAATAATAATAATAATAATAATAATAATAATAATAATAAATAATAAATGGCATGTATACAACTCAGTTCCACAGTTCAAAATGCTGTTTACAAGACTGAGCCTACCATAGCCTACTATTATGGCATCAACATTCATGTAGCATTCACACACTACAGCACAGCTTATTTCGCCTTCATAATGCAGACATGAACTGACAAATGACTTTGCTGTCGGAAACCCACATGGGACAATCGGTATTCAAAATAATTTGTAAGGTATATTGTATACTCTTTAAGAAAATTGAACTTGACCCTTGGTACATTTTGAATATTAGGAAATGCATTATAACAAAATGGTAAATATTAGGGACAGAGTGCTAGAAAGGATCAAGTGTTGTCGCCAAAACACCAATAATCACTTGCAGTGCACATCAAGACGTCCGTATAGGCGAGTTTTTACTGAATCCATAATGGCGGCCTTGACCACTTTCTCGTGCACAGTAGTGAACTTCAATTCAGCTTTCTGTTACCTCTCTCACTGCCGTATAAAAAGCCACGACAACCATGGTTCACACAGTTCATTTAACATAACCGTAGACAACTGAAAAATGCCCAAGTAGACTGATGCTGAACTCAATACTGCAATCGGACGATTGGGAGTAGGGGTGACTCAGGAAGCCGTGGCAAGGCACTTTGGCGTGTCTAGACAGACTATTGCTGCGTTATGGTCTCGATACAACACCACTCAAAGGGCTCATAACAGGCCTAGGTCAGGCCGACCCAAGGGCACTACTGCGGCCAAGGATCGTTATACCCGTGTGCGACACCTTCAAGATCGAACCACAACAGCAACGTCTACAACTGCTCAAATCCCTGACGTGGAAGAATTTCTGACCAGACAGTCCTCAATCGTCTCAGAGAGGTAGGATTCTTAGCTCGAAGACCAGTTCGACGTAACGTGTTGACCGCACACCACGTGGCAGAACGTCTCCAGTGGTACCAGCGCCCAGCACAGAGTGACATATGACAGGTACAGGGATATCAAGCGACCTCATATCGTTCCACACCTGGACGCTACTAATGCTGGCATTTTGAAGCAGGATTACGCTCGTCCGCATGTTGCACGGTTGTGTGAGGACTTCCTGTGTGCCAACAACATTCCGACTCTACCATGGCCTGCCCGTTCACCGGATTTGTGTCCAATCGAACACTTATGGGACGATTTAGATCAATGTGTGCGGCAGAGGAATCCGATACCTCAGACACTTCCAGAGCTCCTTGTGACACTTCAGCATGAGTGGCAGGCAGGCCATCCTGCAGCGTGGTATTGCAAACTTGATTTCTTCAATGGGTTCCTGATGCCGAACAGTGATCAGCACTAAATGGTTCTCATATTAGGCACGGACTTTTTGTATACCCCATTCTGTTTACAAGCTGGTGCAGGACATTCAGTTTGTTCACCAGGGATGGGATAACGTTTTGAACATGTGTATAGTTATCATCTGCCAGAACATTGCATTATTTTGTTCTTTTCGTTATGTTCACTTAATAAAGAATTCAGTTTTAAATCTTGTTTCTTTTTTTTTTTAAGAGTATAGTTTTAACTAATGTTACCTTTAAATACTCTCTGATATCAACCAGAGACACTAAAATATATTTATACTCTCTGATATCAAGGCGAGAGAGAATGGAGTGTTGTATCTAGATCTAGTACTAGATCTAGGCCTTCTCAGATAATGAGAAGGCCTATATCTAGTATCAAGCCAAGGAGATTAAAAGTAATGGATGATGCTCTGTGGGCGGCAAGGCACGCCTGATAGGAGCCCTCTCTCGCAGCGGAACTATGGTGAGTATGGTCTTTTGGTCTACCTGCGCTGCACGCAATTATAACTATAACAACAGAAGGGAAGTAGAAATGTAAATTTATTGTTTTTCCGCCTTTGATAGTTGCGTCCCTTGGAAAGAAAATGTTTTTTTCAGAAGGCTATCGAGAGTTAAACATGGTTATTTTTAATTTATTAGATCTTGATCTAGATCTAGTTTTTACGTCATTCGTCGTGGAAGGTTTACTTCTGACTACCACTGACCTTTTTGTTCGGAAAGTCGGAAAGCTATGTGAGCTTTACTTTTTTTAAAATTAGTTTTATTGATTCTAAGATAAAATCCATAGACTAATCTTTTAATATTTTTTTGCTTTTTTTTTTTTTTTTTTTTGGGGGGGGGGGGGGTTATATAGAGCTAAATCCCAGACAAACTGTAGATAATCTGGCGATCCCGCAGAATTCGGTTTATGCGGATTCCTAGTCTGTAGTTTTTGTCCAGCATATATTTTTATCTCAAGTTTGAGATTGGCTGTGCGGTTATCCAGTCTCGCTGGATTCTTTTGTTCTTTTTGGAATTTTTGATCTTCCAAATACTAGTATAAAGTATAAAGACCAACTTATACACTAAAAACTTAATTCTTCCATGATTTTGTTACTACTGTGCATGTTATTATTTTCAATACCACCCTATCATGTCCCTGCAGTAGATAGGCCTACCTATATTTAATAATACTTGTACCGGGTAGTGTAAGTTATGAAAGTTAATCGTCCATGCGTGGCAATGATCACCATTACAACCGCAGAGAATAACATTTCTTGAGAGAAACAGAAGAAATAAAGGTTAAGGTAATGACTTATGGCTTCTGCTATGGCCAGACCAGTTCTGGCAGAGAAAAGTTTGCCACATTAATTTCCTTCCAGGGATGGGCCCAGTTTGCGGGCTCGAATCTCTCTTTGCAAATTGGCTTCAGGGTACACTATATGATGAAAAACAAGATTTAAAAAAAAATTAAACTGATGAATGTCAAAAAGGAGGATATTATTGAAGTTTACCAGAGTCATCATTAATGATTTTTACTAAGATGGATACCCCAAACCATCCATGAGCTCTGCTTTTTTTAAAGATTTATTTTTCTTAACGCATCAAGTTAATTTTCTTTAGGCCAAAAGTTTTTGGATAAGGTTTCTTCAGACACTGCATTATTGGAAAAGTAAAATGAATATGTTCTCAAAGTTACATGTATTACTGAGAGATCTATTTCGCCATGATTCTCCGTTTGTTTATTTATTTATTTGTTGCTGTTGTTGCTTTTTTGGGGGAAGGGGTTGTTACATAAATTGTTTTTTGTGTTCTGTTTGTAGCCTATCTTATTTTTTTTATGGAAGTCAAAGAATTTTTTTAATTGGAAGAAATTAAAAATTGTGAGACTGATTTGGATCACACTCCAAGCCAAAAATAGTGTCACATTTCAATGGTCTGCAAAATAAATAAAAATTTGCTGAAATGTGTTTGTGTCTCACCTCGACAGAATATTAAGGGAGGAAGGGGGGGGGTGGGGGGGGGGGGTGGAGACATTTTTATGCTTTATTATAAATGCAGATATTTTGTTTGTGTTTTTCTTCTTTTTTAACGTTTTGTTTCTGGTTTGTTTGGGGGTTTGTGTTTTTGAAATTTTTAATTAATTGATTAATTAAATTTTAATTAAAAATTTTTGGGAGGGGATATCTATTACAATCATATTTGTGAAAGTACGTCACTCTTGTCGCCTAAAACTTACGACTCACTTAAAGTTCGAATTTATTTTTTAAAATGAGGATTCAGAATCATTTAAGGGTGTACAATTAGGAGTCTGGATGAGTCACAGTTTAATTTTCAGTTTTTCATACGTTTTTTTAAGATCTCATCTTGGGAAAGTCCGTTCGTCTTCTAAGATGCCATTGTAAACAAGTGAGGCTTCCGTTCGGAAGCAGTGTGCATTGATTCCACAATGAGTTGACAATCGATTCTTTTTTGTGTGGTTTTTTTGAGTCCTTTCATCGAACGTGTTCCCAGTTAGCCTAGATGTAGCTATTAATAATAACTCGTACGATTTTAGAAACGTCCGAATCACGAGGGACACCTCAATTATTGACAAAGGACGTAGACTTTAACTTCCGCTTCCTTTTTACGCCTGGCAATCCAGTCGGTGGTTCTGTGAACCAGATAGGTAACAAAGAAATCGCGACACATCCGTCAAAATGATTATTTACAAGTGCATTGTTACAGGTATTTATATATGTGTGTTTTATTTACTTCAGATTTAGTATTGATATACGATTTTTATATTGAAATTCTCTCTAAAATTCGAGATGTTTTGGACTCGGTCCCACTGTCCGACGTAGATTCTATCTAACTCTAGTTTTGTTTAGTGTCTTGGTTTCGATGTTTGTCTTGAGCCGGAAATAGATTTTTGATCTCGATTCAAGTTAAGTGGTAATTTTATAATTGGTCTTCATTTTTAAATGGTCAGAGACTGGTTCTTTTTGTTTCCTTTCTGTGCAGATTCATAGATCTACTTCTTCAAGGAAGTGGCTATCTATTCTCATCCGGAGTGAGAATAGAAAAACGATCTACCTCTCACCCCGGGTGAGACTTGCCAGCGTAGGCTATTCTCACCTTCTTTTCCTCATTTTGGAATACTGTCTATCATCGGTGTGGATGATCAAATTGATAAAAGGCAAGAAAAAATTACGTTATAGCACAAAAGTAAGCTAATTTGATCGTCTTCAAAGATGCTATGGCTATTTCACTGTTCGAATCGAGCCGAACTACGCGGGTCGCCATTTTGTTTTGCCCGGAAGTTCTCGCAAGATCTACTCCTCCCCTCTTCTCTCTCTCTCTGTCTCTTTCTGAATACTGTCTATCGGTGTGGACGATCAAATTGACCAAAACAAAGTTAAAAAATGATGTTAAAACACAAAAGTAAATTAATTTGGTTGTCTACAAAGATGCTACGGCTATTTAACTTTTCGAATCGAGCCGAACTACGCGGGTCACCATTTTGTTTTGCCCGGAAATTCTCGCGCTACTCCTCTCTCTCTCTCTCTCTCCACTCCACTGCCCACAGACAAAATTGTACGCTTTTAGTAGGCTACAATTGTAATGGAACGTTTGTTCACGGCACAGAATTCTACAATTTTTCTGTTATCACAGTGTAGAATTCTGTGGTTTAGGGTGAACGCGCACCGGTTCTCACCCGGTGCGCGTTCAATGGCCACCTCTATTCTCACTCCAGTTTTAGTGACGACGAAACCCCTTTAAAGTCTTCCTCTGATTGCTCACTTAGCTGTATGTCTATTGTGTGTGTCGCTGTCTCCAGCAAACGGTGGTGGTTCAGAACTATACCCAAAAGGATATGAAGGTATGGTGGTGCTACTTTAACGGGTTCAATGTTTATTAGTGGGAGGTGTAAACTATTGTGAAAACTAGCGACATTTTTCTTTAGGCCATGGCCATATTTTTTTAAACGATTGTGATCGCGTTTCATAGTTTCCAAAGAACGAGGCAGGAAATATTGTTGTTGACATGGTGTTTATGCTAACACCAAAGGCCAAGAGAATGTCCGACGCAAACTCAGAACACTGCAGGGGTCGCCTTTTCTGTGCCTTCTGCTTGACTGACAGTGTTCTGCCACCACAAGTTCTGCAAAGTTCGTGCAGCTTTTGAAAATGTGAATCCTCTGTATGTTTCTCCATTTCTTAACTGGGCTAAAATATTCCAAAAATTCGATAAGAAAAATGAAAAAATAACGCGATAAATAAGAACAGAAATGAAAGATCACAATCCGAGTGAATCACGGGGGAGGGGGTACCTTTTAAAAAAATCATATAAAATCACACATTCATTTCCCAGAAATAGAACTTGCTCACACAGTTCAAGTATTGCTGTCTCAAGTGAAGCACAGAAATCTGAGTGAAAATTTGAGTTTGTCTTTTGAGATAATAAACTCCAAAATGGAATATAATTCAAAATGCATCTTTAGTTGAACAAAACGCTTGTCCTGCAAAGCGCTTAAATGCTATAACATCAGTGAGATTTCCGGAGCGAAAGTGGGATCGTCTTGTTAGTCTTAAGACTCTTTAAAATGAGATTTTAAACAAGCTTCTAGGTTTATCAGATCGGGAGAAATAACGAGGGAAAGTGATACGAAAATTACCTGAATCGAGTTACGCAGGCACGGCGCGGACATCGCTATCGTCATGGTTGTTAAGCATGAGGGTGGCCAACTGACACTGATTTATTACCTTCGCGCGGGAGGTCAGACTGGGGTTCGGCCACCAGCTAAAGTACCACTTTCAGTGGGGTTTTAACAGCCGTGTCGGGAAAATAAAGCTGGGCACTATTTCTCCGAACACTTTGAAATCAGATCCTTTCACGCAAATTTCGGATTTATATATATATATAGATCTATAATTATATTATAGGCCTACCAAAGATTGTTCATATACAATATGGTTCAATTGGTCCAAAAAATGTCAGCAGTAAATATTTTCATAAAGAAATGCTACAGTTCCAAACAGTTTAATTTTCGCTACAGCTACAGATATGACGTGTTGCCTATGAAGGATGCTGCTCTTAAACTTTATGTGTTGTGTTCACTCGAGTGCTATCTAGATCTTTGGAGGGTTGTTGATAACGACACATAGAACTAGCATCTGCGTCGCGACCAATCAATCGTGGTTCGAATTTTTTGGCATTTTTTTTTATACTTAGACTACGCGCCCGGTTACCGTGTACGTAAACCCTGAGGCTACGCGCCCGGTTACTGTGTACGTAGACACTCCGTATTTAAAAAACTATTAATTTGGGACGGAAATGAAGTTGAAATTCGTGTTCAGCTCATCAATATTTAGTAGAAAATGGACAACTGGTAGTTAAGTGTGAGACGGGAGGGAAAGTAAAAAAATACCAGCAGTAAAATTTCACTTGTATTTAACAAGGCAAGGCCCTGACCACCTTTAAACAAAAACATCTTGGGGTTTTTTTTTGGGTTGGCGGGGACACCGGATCGGCAGATGAGATCTGACGCATGGGTGAGTTTTCCAGCATATATGCCAGAATTTCCGGCTTTTGAACATAAATAAGGTTTCCAACTTTTCCGGTTTGGGACTAATTGTCGTAAAAATTTTGGAAGTAGGCCAAGGCTAGTCATTCTCCCCATCCACAGTTTCTGGGTCTTTGCATTTGGTTACGTTGCTGGTGTGTTTCAGCTTGCCCTACAGGCCAATATGAGCGTTGCGCGCCCAGAAATAACCCAATTAGATCTATAATCTATGTCGTAGTAAACGCTACAACAACCGCGATATTATTGATCTGGCACTGCGGGACATAATAAGAGCCTCTCGTTTTACTGGATTTTACGGGATTCCGAACCTAAGAGGAAAAACACCTGAAAATATTGAGAACTGTGCTTTACCGGGGACAAAAAGACATTAACAAGATATACATCCTCTATATTTGGGGCAATCACAGGTGTGTGCTAGGTGCTTGCTTAGCTTCATGTGATCTATGGCTGTTCATTTTCCTTGGTTTGACGCAAATTTCTACTTTACTTTTGACTCATTATATTATGCATATAATATTAGACAATTTATATCTCTGTGATATCTATTTTGAGTGCGCTCTCCTTGCCGTGGATTTTTTTTTTTTTCCCCTTCATTTTAAAATTAAAAGAAAGTTAAATCATTCATCATGCTATCTGGACTTCTTATATCTGTTCCAAGGCTAGTTGTTATTTTTCTTTCTCTTCAGGTGATGAACTTTTCACTGACACATTTCCCGTGGCAAAGATTGATGGGTTCTACAAAGTCAAGGGCAAGGTAATAATCTCGACCTGTTCGTGTCACGGGACTGGAATGGGGCGTCCATAAAAAAATTTTTTGCGTGTGTTAAATGTTGGTATTATTGTGGAGCCCATTTGATTCCCTTGCTTTGAGAGGGGGGGGGGGGCATAGCCTAATTTCACCATGATGCAGCACATATATGGAATCAAGCGCTTATCAATTTTGAAACATGTTGAGTATTATTGGTATTGTCTTCTTAAAGTTTGTCCATGTGTCTTGCTTTTCGTGTGGAAAAAAATACCCGTCTATCTTGAACTAACCTAGAGATACAGCCAAACCTGTCATGACGGCCGCCTGTACAAGTGGCCACTTTGACATTCTATTTTCCAGGGGGGGTTTCCATATAATTTAACTGTAAGTCGCTCGCCCATCCAACACGACAACTATATTTCATCAACCGACAATGAAAAATGCCAGTCTGAGATGGCCATGCAAATCTTGTCGCCCGACATTTATTTAATAGATTATGAATTGACCCCTAATGCTGTGGATGGGCTGTGATAAAATCTATTTACTTGTTGTCATTATAATTGTTAGTCCCTGCAACATATGGATGTTGCTTGGACGGTTCCAATGTTTTCCCCTAGTCAACCAATTGGTAACAATAAATTTTCAGCTGCTGGTGATGGAAGCATGTGATCCGTCATGACCTTTAAAAGCCCTTCCCACAACTCGTTACACAAATTGTGAGTTGAGCAGTCATTGTTTACCCAGTCCATAACGATGAACACGTCAATACAAACTCGAGTGGTGGTTGTTTAAACCGTGAACGAAGCCCGAACTTAAACTTAAAAACAAAATTTCCCTCAAAAACCTTCCTATCCCTTCCCGGCCTCCCCCCTTTCAAAAGATCTGTTCCGTTTATATGATGGACACTTCTCTCCTTGGCAACACATGGCTGTCTCACAGAAAATGACCATCAAGGTTTGGTAATTTAATTTACAAAGCTTGAAGTTCTTTGGAAATAACAAATTTTACCATTTATGTCTTTAATCGTTCCATTTTAGTGTTCTTTTTCAGCAAAATTGTACTTTTAAATGGACATAAAAGGTGTTGAGAAATAATTAACAATTTAATGCAATGAAAATAGTGGGAAAATGACTTTCTTCAATTTAATTTTGACAAGCACCTGATTTCCTCACAATGCCACGCGTTTGTCATTTGGTAGTGGGTGGGCAGTTTGCTGGTCTTCTGATGTGGTTTGCTTCTTCTTTAAATCTAACATATATCGTCCTCATCTCTCCTCCATGTTTGTGTTTTTAACTGTCCTTAAAAACTAAAAACTTTTATAAAGGTAAAAAATTTACGGGTTGTTTTATTATCCTATCTTGTCAGCATGTGACCAGGTCTGATGCTGTGGATGAGAGGTTGCTTGGAGCTAACCCAAGTGCTGAGGAGGCCACAGAACAGGCAGATGCCTCTGCCACGTCTGGTATTGACGTTGTTGTAGATGGCAGGCTGGTGGAGACTGGTTTTGGCTCAAAGAAGGATTTCGTAGCGTACTTCAAGTCATTTGTCAAAGTGTGAGTGGAAATTATTTTTTTGAGGGTTTCATTGTGTGCTTTCGATTTTTACCCCGGTTCTGTTGGGGCGGGGGCGGAAGTGTAGGTGTAATACTGAGACACCATCTGGAAAATCAAAATCTACTTTCGCTTTCTTCACCGCTCAGAATTGTCCGATGATAGTTTAATGTTAGATTTACAGTTAATGAAAATTTGTAACATGCAGTTTGTGCATTAAAAAAATAGTGTCGCCATACGAATTAAATAAATATTCTCACTGATGTCACTATAATGACCAAAAAAAGGGAAGAAAAAGACAGGGTTCCCGCGGCCTCCTTGAATTCAAGGAGTCCTTGAAAACTGCTTGAATTTGCATTCAAGGAAAAATCTCCTTGAATTTGCCTTCAAGGAAAAATCTCCTTGAAAACTTGAATTTTGCCAGATCGGACAGGAACACGTGTACATGGTGACTGCCAGGCCCCTGGAATTACCCAGGAATTTGAAAAAAACCGCCGAGATCCGGAATGCAACGGGAATTTGAAGAAATCTGTAAATTGCCCCGTGAAAGACCCGGGGAAATACTTAAAAGTTCTCGAATATTTGAAAACAAAATCCGATAACGTCCTTGAGTTCATTTTTGCCGGTCGCGATTGTGATATAATATTTATTCTGCCTTTCCCGGCCTGAGAGTACGTTACACGCGCACATGCGGTAATGGCGGCAACAAGTGGAAGTATGTGCGATACCGAAGCTCGATCTGGAAAATCAAGATCTGCTTTCGTTACCACCCAGAAATTTGCCGGTAGGGCCTATAGCAGTCTGATAACGCCACATTTGTAACATGCAGGCTCTGCATTACAAACGCTGTGTCGCCATGAAAATTTAAAATCGTTTGTCCTGTGCTGTCACTTGTGTGAAAAAAAACAAAGACTCGCCATCGTGACCGGTCATTGAACCTGTGCGTTTTCGTCACATTGTGAGCATAGGCGATGGTTGAGGTCACCAAAGTTCATGCAAAGTTTGAGCGCTGCGAAGTATAGGACTCGAGAATGGGAGGATTATTGTGTTGGTTTTTTTTAAGACGCACGCCGGGGGGGTTGAAGGCAACGCCAGATAACAAAAAAAACGTGAACTTGGAAGTTGGTAGATCTCTCTGCAAAGGGCGCGTTGGTGCACAGTCCTTGTGTGGAATCGGGATCCATCATACTCCAACCGTCTAAGCCGTGTTCTTTTTACTAAAGGGTTCCCGTTTCATTGCGTAGGTGATAGTAAATTATATGCATTGTATATTTTAGCTTTCTGTTCAAGATTCGCAGATTTTCAGTGTCACTGCATCTTGCCCTCCAATAGTTCTTACACCTCTCGCTCTGAATAGGTCTACTTGAGCCATTCATGTTATTACTCTACTTTGAGCTAGAGTGATAATATTTGTCTTTCACGTTTATTATATAAACCTTGACGCCCCAACTGGTTCTTAACAGTGATATTCTGGTTCTAGGCATTTTTATATAGTTTATATAGGCGAATATGATGAGGGGAAAATATAAATAAGTTGGAACAGACTGAAAAACTTAAGTCACAGTATCCCAGTGCCACACTGACATCATGTTGACTGGATTCAATGTACCTACATGCGTGTGTGTGTATATATTATATATACATATAATATATAAATGGAGCATGCACTGTCGTTGTTATGTAAAATGCCCCTGGAGAATGGATGAGACACCCCCCCCCTCCCTTGAAAATTGAGAAGCCGGACTGGCAGTCACCCTGGGAACAGTTTTTCTAGGAAAATCGAAACTATGAATATGATATGATTCCTTTCGAACATGTGTGTTTTAAAAAAAATAGGCTTTCGTCATGAATTTCTAGATCTAGATCTAGATTTATATACTCTAGATCATTATAGACCTCAATGGAGGATTCATATTCCAATTCTATTTTGTCAAACCCTATCATAGGCTGTGCTGTAATATTAATGTTGGAAAAGGGCATTTCATCAGGTGCGTGAATTATTTATTTATTTAGAATCTAGACCAAGTCTAGACTCAGCTGAGCCCCTCTGTTCGGAATCGGATGCGGATTTCTAGTTCAAGGCCTATTCCTAGATCCTATTCACTTGTTCTACAAGATCTAGATCTAGATTTATTTAGTTTACTAGATCTATATGGAGGATTCATATTCCAATTCTAGAATCTATTGTGTTATTGTATCAAACCCTATTATTATAGATCTAGCAATATATAGATGTATGCCATTATGCTCCTTGTAAGCCTTGTTTGTTTTGGAGTGTGGTTTTTTAATTTTAAAAATGTTTTTCATTTTGGACTTTTGCTGGCCTTTTCACATGAGGTTCGTTGCAGGTTCTTTTTTGGGGTAGGGGTAGGGTTAGGTCTCTTCTTTGTTGTGTTTGTTGGGGTGGTCGTTCGTTACTCGGAAGTCCTTCCTTATGACACCCACAAAAGCTCTTTTGGGGGGAGGGGCGCAAAATTTTCAGACTGGTTGAGGCTCACATGCAGGGCTATTTTAGGTATTTTAGTACGATTTTTGGCCGAAAATACGCGAATACGACTTTTCATGAAAAAATATGCATCCTGTAGTGCGAAAAATTCGAGATTCAACTTGGGCGAGTAAACCTAATTATCTAAAGTCCCATCTTTTGTCAAAATAGTATCAGTATCGCGGAACTGGAATATTTGAAAACCAAGTCCAATGTGGTCAGTAAGTTCATTTTTGCCGGTCGCGATCGTGATATTATATTCGTTCAGCTTTTCCCCATCCGGAGAGAATGTTTCACTATCACACGAATAGGCAGCTATGGCGGAAGCGTATGTGACACCGAGGCTCGATCGGGAAAATCAAGATCTACTTTCGTTTTCGTTACCACCGAGAAGTTTGCCAGCATTTCTCTGATAACGCAATGTCGCCTTGCAAATAAAATGTAATAAATACACGGACTCGTCGCTGTGCTATCACTTGAGGAAAAAAGAAAGAAAAGAAAATACAAGCGTCGACCGCCGTCCGATTTTTAGATTGTCTGGCTCGCCATCGTGACCGGTCACTGAACCTGCGCGCATCCGTAGCGACATCGTGTGAGTAAAGACCGTCTTTGATGGGAGTAACGGCGTTGCGAAGCATATGACTGCGTAATAGGGGAGGAGATTGATTTTTTGGGGGTTTCGGATACTATCGGGGGGGGGGGGTTAAGGCAACACCAGAGGACAAAAGCTTGGGTGCACATTTCAGAATTTTGATTAGAGCTTTCTGCAAAGCGCGCGTTGATGCAGGCCGTGTGCGGAATCGGGACCCCTCATACTTTGCAAGCCTGTGTTATTGAAATAAAGTGTGCGCGTTTCATTGGATGGGTGATAGTAAATTATACCTACTTGGATGGGTGATAGTAAATTATACCTACAGTGTATGTTGTAGCTTTCTGTTCAAGACTGGCAGATTTTCAGTGTCACTGCATCTTGCTCTACCACAGTTGTTACAACTCTCAAGGTGCATGGTCTACTTGAGCCATTCAAGTTATTGCTTTGCTCTGAGTTTGAGCAATAATTTGAGTCTGTCAGTTCATGACATGAATCGTGACACCCAGACTGGCTCTTGATTGTAGAAATTCTTGATCTAGGTCCTTCCGAACTCTCAAAGCAGGATTTATTTTTTAAAATATAATAATGAGAGGAAAATATTAGACCTATATAATAGACTGAAATACTTAAGTCAAACAAGACCCCAGTACGACATTGAATACTGACATGTTTTTGACTGGATACATACATATTGTACGCGTGTGTGCTCCTTTTTTCGAGCTGGTGAGCTAGTAATTTTTTTTCAGGAAATATTGCTGGACACCCTGAACATTTTACTATTACTGGTTGGTCGGTTGTGGAAAATACCCATTTTCCCCTGAAAATACACATTTTCATTTTTCCCAATACTCATTTTGGTTTTCTGTGGTTGGCATCTCTGCATGATGGCTTGTTGGTGATTAAAAACTGGTACTGTGATTTTATTAGCATTTTGAAAAAAATAAATACTTAGTCCATGATGCAGTGATTCAATGATTGCCAGGTTTTCAGCATCACTACATCCGGTGCTCTGTCCTTCTAGCTCCGGCTCTCAGTACACGCTCTTTTTTATTTTCACTTTTTGCTCTGCTTTAAGCCTAACTATAAAGGTTTTATAATTGTTTTGTCTTACATGCTTTTTAAAGTCCTGGACTTACCAATGCCCCCCGAGCGCATTTTGTTCTGCCGATTTTTGGCCTCCGCGGCGGGGGTGTTTCGTGGGACGCACTAACGCAAAGGTTGTTGTCTTCAACTCGCTCTCCCGCCGCTTCTCGTGAATGGATATGAATGAAACTTGGCAGCCAATCAGAAAACTGGTCAATCTCGTAGTATGCAGTTTTGACAACTTTGTACCCATCCAAGAAGTAGTCAAAAACGTTTGCGAAAGTGGTTGATGTGGTGCACTTTGAAGATTTTTCAGAGCTGTGATTTGTCAAACTGACTGATACGTTGAACACCATTTTTCTTAATTCCCTGAAAATTTCATGCTTCTGTGTTTAGCGGTTTTCGTGTAATCTTTAAAGATGTGGGAGTAACTAAGGAAGTAAGCGGCATTGCCATTTGCGCGTGCTGGGTGAACGACCGGCGGCTGGGAAATTTCCACTGAGTGACGTCATCGGTCGCCTCGGGCGCTACAAACGCGGAAAAGTGAGGCATTAAGATTGTTATTAAAGAGTATGGTACTTTAGTCCAGTCTGGGAAGATAGTCCCGTTTATACATTGTTATCGTTCACGCGTACGCGCGCGTGCATGTGTGTGTGTGCGCGTGAGAGTGAGAGAGAAGTGGGGGGAGGGTGTAAATATGTTACATTTATTGTGTGAGTTGTAGCCTACACATGCAAAATATTCCCATGACTTGTAAACTATATTATCTGAACGCCTCTTAATCTACCACACAATAGGACACTGTCCAACAATGGATACACAGAGACGATCTTTTCTATAACAAAGTATGCATGCT